CCCCAAAACCCCAAAACCCCAAAACCCCAAAACCCCTGTCTCACAATTTTCTCGAAATATATGAAAATAATGAAAGAAGTATTATCAAAAGATTTCCCATGAATTAATATTATTTCTGACATCTTCAATATTAAGATAGTCAGAATATTAAGAGGGCACAGATATTGATTAATAGAGTAACATGAAAGTAAATAGAGTTATGATCATTCAGATTTGCAGCTTGTACTAATTTATATGTCTTCTTAACTTGACTTATTAATACGATCATTTGTTTTAAGCTAGAGATTGCTATATGCATTGTTTGATTCTATCTCATTAGTGCTACCATATTTATTTTAATAGCAAAGATCTGCATATTGCATTGCAATTTTCACACCTTCTCCTGCTGTTATTTTACTGAAGTTAAGGGGCTCAAAACTCTGTGAGTTGAGTTAGCGAAAAAGAAGGGCAACAAACTGATTTAATTAATTAACAATAAGAGCCTAAAAAAATTAACTAATAAAAATATTACTTCTCTAGTTATGGAGATTTGTTCTTGAGAAATGTTGGGTATAAATTTTTTCAACAACATTGAGAAGTGCTAAAAATCGTCTTTATTATTAGAAAGCAGATTAAGAACATCTGCATACATGTTCAGATATCTACTTGACGGCATTTAAACACTCTTCCCGCAGTCTTCATGCATCGAAAGATCAAATAAAAATTGTTTCATTCTGACATTTCTCAATGCGAGTATTTGTTCTGATGTCAGACCATTCCCTATTTAAGGAATATTGGTATCTTAATTACCAATTAACTTAGGTGGATTTTTGTCAATTTGTTCCAGAGATTAGGCTGCATTGTTAAATTAATAGCAATTCTTATTATTTGACGATATCTGATTTTATTAACTTTGTGGTACTTCGATTGTAGACATTGTATGTATAATGTTTTGAGAACCAAATTCGTTATTTTTTTTCACAATCAAGAGAGTTTTAAGTTTAGAGCCAGTTTTCCTTCCTTTACAGTTTTTTTTAATTAAACGATAGTTGGAAGTTTGCTTGAAGCCTTGAGATTTCTCTTAAAAAGAGGAAAAATTTTTTCCAATCATTTTCTGGCCTCTCCGGAAATATTATTTTAGTTGCCTGATCATTGAGTATCTTTTTTATTTTGCGTTATAATCAGTATAACTCTTGTTTCGAGTTATACTCTAAGAGTTTGCGAAGATATTTGAATATCTTGGTAGTTCTTCATTTGTTTCTAGAGAAAGAGCCGTAGTATCTTCCTCTTAATTTTTATCTGACAGAGGGTTTATTCCTTGATTCTGCATTAATTTATCTTATAATAGATTTGTTTTATCCTTTAACTAATTCAATTAATTTAATTTTGAGCCAATCAAAGTATGAAATAATTTAGAGGCATCGAAAGTTCATGATATTTTAATAATTTGTTTGATATCCCAAATCTGGACTATTTGCTCAACCTGGGGTTTTGGGGTTTTGGGGTTTTGGGG